TAACTACACCCTTCTTACTGTCCAAAGATGCTCAATCCATTTATCTTATCTACAACTATAATATCCTTAATTGGAAACATCAAACATCATATCCATAAACTGCCCTGAAGAAACATCATGAGACTATACTTCTTGGAATGCACTGTACTGTAGACATGTCATCACAATCCTGTTTTTTTGTTTTTTAAAAACTGATGGACCAAGTATATAATTTGAACATGACTAAACCCAATATAAAAGAAGAAGAGAGAGGAAAAATATTTTTTAAAAGAGTAAAAAGCAAAAAAGGTAATGAAAAGATCAATGTTTACATTGTCCAAGGAAAAGCATCTGGTAGAAAATGTAGACCTGATTTCTGTAATTACTTGATACATTATTCTTTTTTTTTTTTTTTTTGGAGAGGTTTTTGCTATAGGGCACGTGCGCTTGCCAGACAGACAGAGAGAGACAGAGAGACAGAAAGAGAGAAATCACACCCCAGGGGGGATGGCCACACCACAATCCCTTCTCCTCTCAGGATCTTGGGCACGCACGCACACGTGCCCGGTGTGAGTTTAAGCGACTGGGTCCGGGACTCGAACCATGGTAGACTACGTGGGAGTCCAGCGACATAGTCATTACGCTAACTGTTGGTCCCTACATTATTCTCTTTTTAGTTCTTAAGTTCTTTTCCATGTTTAATAAGCAACCCAGTTGGCCATGGTTTTTTTTTTTTTTTTTTTTTTTTTTTTTTTAGAGATTTTCGCTGTAGGGCGCGTGCGCTCGCCAGACAGAGAGAAACAGAGACAGAAAGCGAGAAATCACCCCCCAGGGGGGATGGTCACACCGCAATCCTTTCTCCTCCATTCTCCTCTCGGGATCTTGGGCACGCACGCACACGCGCCCGGCGTGAGTTTTTTAAGCCACCGGGTCCAGGACACGAACCGCGGTCGACTACGGGGGAGTCCAGCGACATAGCCATTACGCTAACTGCTGGTTCCCTTGGCCATGGTTTTTTATAATCCTATTTCCGGGAATCCTACCAGTCTTTATAAAGAGACCTGAAATCTTTTAACAGGGGACAAAACCTGAGAAGAAGATAATTAATTTTATAAGTAACTGCTATTTTTGTCTGAATATTTGTATTCTCCTCTCCCAGATTCACATCTTGAAATCCTAATCTCCAAGGTGATGCTATAAAGAGGTAGGGTCTCTAGGATGGGATTAGATTATGAGAATGGAACCACCATGAATGGGATTAGTGACCTTATGCTAAAGGTCCAAGAAAACTACCTTGCCTCTTCCACCACGTGAAGTTACAGTGAAAATATATAGTTATTTTTGAAGCAAGAAGCAGACCCTCACAAGACACAAAATCTGCTGGGACCATGATCATGAACTTCTTAATGTTCAGAACTGTGAGAAATAAATTTGTGTTGTTAATAAACCACCAAATTAGTGATACTTTGTTAGAGCGGCCTGAAGACATTAAGACAATGACACAAACTCTGGGGAAGAAGAGTCATCTAAAGTAAAGTAGTACCAAGTCTTCTGTGGAACCTTCTATACAGCTCTCACAGTACTTTCTTAACGAAACTGATAGAAAAGTAAGCAATAGAAATAAAAATAAATTTCATAAAATTCATGGACGCAGTTAAACTGACAAGCTGAGGTAAACTCATAGCTTTATCAAAAGCATGAACTGAAAATAGACTAGCCTCATTTTTTTTTCTGAATTTATTGTTTTCTTTCATATATGAGCAAGAGAAACAGAGAGAGAAAAAAAGAGAGACTATTTCCAACAGGATCTTGATACTGTAAGCCACCTCATGTGCCTGTCCTACAAACTCAGGGAGGTCTCCCAATGAGAACCTAGACTATTTCCATGTGAGTTGTAGAGTGTCATGTTTTATCACACCATTCAGCCCCCAAGCTTCACTTTTCAAAGTCAACTAAAAGAATTCTAGATAAGATTAATACAAGTAATAAAAGTTAATGTATATTTAATGTACACTATTCAACAGGGACAGTAATAACCACGACATAGAAATTACTTTTATCTTCTCAAAAATTCTACCAATTTTTTAAACAATATCTCATTTTCTATAGTGCATCAGTAAATAACAATAACTATGATTTGTTGAATACCTGGTCTGTACAAAAGCAACAAACCTTAGACACTATTAAGTTGCAGAACTATGATTTAAACCCAACCTATCTTTTAATAATGCTCTATGCTTTCTACTGTGACAGAATGGAAAATCACATTAATAGACTATCATGATTCACAAAAATATCTTAGAAATATAAGGATGATTTGGTATTAGTACTACATAATGCAGTCTCTAAAACATCAGAACTTAGTAAGCGGCTATTCCATAAGGAATGGTTGTCATATACAGTTTAAGATCAAAACAATGAGTTTTTGAGTTCAGTTCTTTAAAAATCTATTAATATGTCTTGCAATCTGAATGAGTCTTTTTAACCCATGCAAAATTTTGTAATGTATGCACTGAATTTGGGAAATGTTTGGATCATTTGGGAAATGTTGATTCACTGTTATGCACACCTTTCAAATGTGTAGACATTAAACCCTCTGTATCCATGGTTTCCACATTCATTAATTCAACTAGCTGCAGATAAAGTTGTTATTTTTAAGATTTATTAAACTTTACTTATTATTATTATTTTAATTTGTCCTCATGAGAGAGAGCAAACTGCTAGGTCCAGGATTCAAACCGTGGTCAGCCATGTGGGAGTCCAGCTCCTTAATCACCGTGCTACCTGCTGGTCCCGACAAAGTTATCTTTTTAGAAAATGGTTGCATCTGTGCTGAACATGCATACACTTTCTTTTTTCTTGTCATTAGTCCCTAAATAAACTATGCAACAATTATTTACATAGCACTTACATGTATTAGCTATTGCAAGTAATCCAGAGATGATTTAAAGTATATCATAGGATGTGTGTAGGTTATATGCAAATGCGATGTCACAATGTCACTTTATATAAGGGGCTTGAGCATCTGCGGGTTTTAGTATCCCTACAATTTAGTATCCCTACAGGTTTAGTGTCCCTATAGTTCATCTGGAAAAAAATCCTCGTGATTGCTAAGGATGTACACATGCCCACATCTATATCTATATATATGTATACACATAAACATACACTCATTTCAAACACATTTGAATCTGTATCATCAATCTATTTGTTAATATAACAACTGTTGTCATCACAAAAGCCTTCAAAAATTGGCGATTTTTCAGTCTCACAGTAGCAGATGCAAAATTTTTGAAAATTCTCATTTTCTATTGAAAACGCAACTGTTGTCATTGCAACAAATACTGTTAATCATTTACTTTGAAGTTACAGGGCTGCCTTGTAATTATTTTGAGGAAATGTCTGTCTAATGCCCAGTTCCAAATAATCATTGTCTGTCATTCTTTCTAGTAAAAATGTTATTTTGTGAGAAGAGTAGTTAGCTTAGCTCACGATTCAAACATCCATGCTAAGTATATTTCCTCAGTGCAATCATCTTATTTCAATATGCTCCACAAGGGCAATCAAGCATAACATAAAAAAGACACTTGTGTTGTGTCATAAAAAAGAAACTGGTATTGTGTCTTAACTCAAGTATGTTAGAGTGAAAAATACAACCTTTACTGGTATGTTTTGTATCGTTGCCTGGCATCAGGAGTTGTACCCACCATTGTTTTTGTACTATCAATGCAATACCTTAGTGATCACATGGCAAAAAAAGTGAATACTGTCATAGTATGACAGAAACAGTTTTTACCATCTGGAGCTTCTTTTTTATTTTTTTTTTTTCAGAAAAAAAAATTGCTATAGTGCACATGTGCTTGCTGAGGAGACAGAGAAACAGAAAGCAAGAAGTCATCCCCCAGGAGGGACGACCATAGTCCCTTCTCCATTCTCTTCTCAGAATTTTGGGCAAACATGCACACACCCCCTGTATGAGTTTCAAGCTACCAGATCCAGGACTCAAAATGCAGCCAACTACATGGGAGTCCAGTGATGTAACCATTATGCTATGTGCTGGTCTCCACCTGAGGCTTCTTAAAATGATTGTGGTCAAATTGCTCTGAGCTTTAAATCCTAAAGTAAGCTTCCTTGGCTCCTATATCCAATGTCTTTAACAGAAGTCTGTCACTGGGGCTCTTTCCATTTCTGCAGTATCATTATATCCCATACTCTTCGTACACCACTTCAGTCCTCCCACTCTGGCCTTTCATACGCCTTTAGATGTACCAGGCCATCTCATGCTACATGGCCACTCTCTCTGTAATCTTTTTCAACCAGGGAAATTTTGCTCTCCACACAATACTTAAACTTCTACTCAACCTACAACTCTCATACTTCATATCATTTCTCCAGGAAAAGCTGGAGTTAGCCTGAATCACCCATGGCATTCATGTCATAGCATCTTTTGCTTCTGTGTAGCTCAGATGCCACGTGTAACTGTCTAATTACATTGCAAGTCCTTCTCAGTGGCTGAGTCCTTGGCTACAATGTCAGTTTCGGAAAGGCAGAGACTGTGCACTTCATACTCAAGACCGTATTGCCAGTGCCAAGAATGAATGAATAGACAGCATGACATACTTTTATTCTGAGTGTATAGGATTAGAATTCTGAGGAAGCTTTGCTTCCAAAAGAAAATTCTTAAAATTAGTAAGTAAAAAAGGAACATTTTTATTAATGAGGATGATGTGAACATAGTGTTTTATAAGCAATAGAAAATATAAATATGAAATAATCAGATATGAATAAATAAATTAATATAAACAAATAAATAGACAATACATGTTTTATGACCTGAGGTCCAGCCACAAGGTCACAGTTACATTTCTTTTGATTCAGAGACACAGATACGTTTCATATCACTTATAAAAATATGTCAAATAAGATTCAAGCTTTCTTAGCACTGAGGCTCAAAATAACAGCTTTGGAAATGACTGGACAACGAGAGTGTGATCCAGGACGTCACCGAGTCAGGGTCCTTCTTAATTCCTGAGTTTTCTGATGAGCTTGTTAATGAAGAGGAAGCACTTCCTGATTTCCACTCTGACCACCTCCCAGGCACAGTCACTGAAGTTCTTCTTTTCCAGGTAGAGATGGAGGCCCTGGAAGTACCCCCTCAGAGCCAGCGTTGTGCTGTCAGTTTCCAGGGCAGACGGCTCCTCTCCCACCCCCTGCACTAAGCAGGTCTCCAGGTCTTCCAGCTGTTGATGAAGTCCAGCGAGGAGTTTGTCCAGGAGGGCCTCCTCCCAGGTGGCAGAGGAGCCCTCTGAGCTGAACAGGTTGAAGATCTGCTGCAGCATCCCGTGGAGGACACGGAGGGCCTGAGTTTTCTGGAGCTGTCTGCCGTCCAGCTGCTCCTGGGGGAATTTGAAGTCAGTCCTATCCTTCAGACAGGAGAGAAAGGAGATGGTCCCCATTTGGGCCAGAGCTGTCAAGGTCTCCTGCTTTCCCGAGTCAAGGCTCTGAGGCAGGTCACAGCTGAGGGAGCCGATGGGGCCAGAGAACACCATCACCATCACCATCAGAGAGGAGACTGACAAGGCCATTGCTAAGTTCCAAGAAGAAGCCTGCCTCGTCGAGATGGGAGATGGTGAGTTTTGTCTCAGCTCTTCTGAGGACCTTCTGCCCAAGTGCCTCTTAAATATCGAGCACCAGATTTCATTTTCTGAATTTCCCCCCCAGATCTTTCTACTTCCCCTTTCCCTTTTCTTTGAGGGCCTGGAGGCCAATTCTTCTTCATTCTGAAAACTGAGTGAAAATTATTCATTTCAAAAATTGGAAGTCCCCTGAGACCAGCAGCTGGCGTGGAGTTTAAGGCACTGGATCTCACATGGCCTACTCTGCGGTTTGAGACCCTGACTGGCAGCTTGAGAATTATGCTAGTTGCGTGTGTGCATACCTACCCAAAATTCTGAGAAGAGACTGGAGAAGAGATTGCAGCATCATCATCTCCTCTAGGGAGGGGTGAGTTTTACTTTCCTTCTTTATCTTATTCTGTCTCTCTCTGGTGAACATAAGTTGTACCCTATAGCAAAAAAACTAAAATAAAAAATTGGAAGTCCTAATTCTACGGGATGTTTATCATTGTAACAAAACTGACTTTGATATACTGATAGAGCCTTCTGACCTTTCCTCCAGGGGTTCAGAACTACTTTTAAGGACAATGTATAAGGATTCTTCGTAAATCTCCTTTGGACCCTACTAGGTTTCCCTCTTTGACATGGTGATAGATTAGATCAGGTGTGTAAGACATGTTATTTATATGCATGGACCCTATCTTTTTCTCTGCTGTATCCTCAAATACCAGACATGTGGCATTCTTCTCATTTAGCTAAAAAAAAAATGTTTTTTGAGAGTTTTTTGCTATAGGGCATGTACGCTCACCAGAATGACAGAGAGTGACAGAGAGAGAAAGCGAGAAATTGCCCCCCAGAGGGGATAGCCATGCCATAATCCCTTCTCCATTCTCCTTTCGGGGTCTTGGGCATGCACGCACACGAGCCCAGTGTGAGCTTGAGCTACTGGGTCCTGGACTTGAACCACGGTCTACTGTTCACGAGTCCAGCAACATAGCCATTACGCTAACTGCTGGTCCCTAGCTCAAAATTCTTAACTGAATGGTACTCTTGAACTTCCTTTAACCCATGGGGGTGCTCACCTACCTCGAGCCAGTGTTGTTTCATCCTAGGTCACCAAGTTCAGTGCAAGAATGGAGATTGTTCATCTTCATTCCCACTTCTTCCTGAGATGTCGTCACCTCCCCTCTAAGCTGATGACAAAACCACCCAAAGGGTCCGTATGCGTGTGTGTGTTGTGTGTATGCATGTGAATATGTATACCGTAGTATGGCTGTTTGGAGTGGAGAGTAGCATGAGTTGGCTGGACGCTGGCTCTGGCTTTTAATTTCATGGTAAAATGTTAAAGTCAACCATTATTATTTACCTCAGCTGAAGCATCTTCTCACCTTGCCTGTACTTCCACATATACAGTGTACTCTCCTGTGAGAGATGAGACAGGGCATGTGTAACTTAGCATGTTTACTCATGCATATTTCCACAATTCTCCATCTTTCTACATCACTTCCTAAAAGTAAGTGATATATCAGTATAACTTTACCAGAGTCCTTTAAACACTCCTTTGGTGCAAAATTGGAGAGCTGTAGACAAGACTGCAGTGCATATGAACTTAAATTACTCTATTCCCAAGGTGCCTCCTTTCAATTCAAGAATTTCCTTAAACAATTAAAGCATGTATGAATTGCCCAGGATGGTAGGTAGGTACGTATTATGTTTTTCCTTAGTGTATGACAAGCCTGCTAGTTTCTTCTGTATGTAAGAGAAGAGTCGAGACCAGCAGTTAACGTAAGGTCTATGTCACTGGACTCCCATATAGTCGACCATGGTTCAAGTCCCGGACCTGGTGGCTTAAACTCATGCTGGGTACATGTGCGTGCGTGTCCAAGATCCCGAAAAGAGAATGAAGGAGAAGGGATTGCGGTGTGGCCATCTTCCCTAAGGGGTGATTTCTCGCTTTCTGTCTCTCTGTCTTTCTGGCGAGTGCATGCGCCTTATAGCAAAAACCCCTCAGGAAGAAAAAAAAAGAGAGAGAGAGAGAGAAGAGTCTCCCTCTTTGTCAAATTCATGTATCTTAATACCTTATGGATATTTAGCCTGTCAAATTTGGTTGTTAACTCTTTGTGATTGAGAACGTTACTGCACATTTTCTATGTGCTATTATGCCCAGCTCTGATTATACCAACGTGATAAATGTTCAGTCTCTCCTTTGAGAGGAGTAAAGTGAGATCACTATTGACCATGCAGGTGTTCAAGCACTTAGTGTACGTCTTTGCTGCTCAATGACAGCCTCATACTCCCCGTTCAAGCCTTGTCCAAGCTGTGCTGAGTCAGTTTAGCAGTCCAATTTGTTCTTCTTTATTTTTACATAATTTGAAACTTGTTTTCTCGTCTTTTTAAAGTTATTTTTTTTTGTTTAGTTTATTCATTTATTTTTCCCATGAGCAAGAGAGACAGGGAGAGAGACAGACAGAGAGACAACACACCAAGCAGGTCTAGAGTGTCAGTCAGCCCTGTACCATGAGCACACGCCTGCCTGGGGTAGCCAGGAAGGTCTCTGTGACGGCACCAAACTTTTCCATATAAGTCTGCCTTGTAGTCATCTTACTGAGGCACCATCCTGTTCTAGTTCCCTCTTTTGTATTTGTCTTTCACTTTATAAAATTGTGGTAATACTCCTGTAGTATCTTCTATATTCACCTGGAAGTGTGTTGCAAACGAAGGAAGAGAACGTGTAAGGGAAAGGAAGAGCAACATATTTCCTCTGTGATTTTCAAGATATCAAAATATTCCTTTTTGTTTGAACTTTCCTGAAAAGTAAAAGTAAGCAATAATGAAACAGTAACATACAAAGAAAAAGGAAATTAAATATCGAAAGTGAAAACAAAAAGGAAGTAACATCTCTCTCCAAAATGTTTTACAATTTCATTTAAGTAATGACATCAGACAGGAATTAAGAGAGCGACAGACAGGTTTTAGCCCGCCCAGTGGGACAGAACGCCCTTGCAGCTGCAGAGACACCTGCAGGAGGGCAGCTGCTCTTCTAAGGCTGGCTGTTTCCTAAAGGACTAGCTTTTTCTGTTTTTGTTTGTTTGTTTGTTTTTTGGGGTTTTTTTGAGAGGTATTTGCTATAGGGCATGTGGGCTCACCAGAAAGACAGAGAGTGGCAGAAAGAGAGAAATCACCCCCCCGGGGGGAATGGCCATGCCACAATCCCTTCTCCTTCATTTTCCTCTTGGGATCTTGGGCACGCATGCACACGCACCTGGTATGAGTTTTAAACCACCAGATCCAGGACTCAAACTGCGGTTGACTACATGGGAGTTTAGGGACATAGCCATTACCCTGCTTGTCCCAGTACAATTTATTTTTTAAAAGAAAAGGAAAAATGTAAATAAGCAATAAATAAAAAGAAAAAATATAATCTCTTTTATGCTTTTTAAAAAAGATTTTATTTTATTTTTAGATTTTATTTGTTATCATTATTTATCAATTTTGACCAGGGAGAAAGGGAGAGTGAGAAAGTAAGCAGCCAGGTCCAAGACTTGAACTGTGGTTGACCATGTGGGATCCAGCACCTCAATGACCATGCCACCTGCCAGCCCCCAGTTTTTTTAAAGAGAGAGGTGTTTGCTATAGGGTGCATGTGCTTGCTGGAGAGACAGAGAGAAACAGACAGAAAGTGAAAAATCACTCTCCAGGTGAAATGGCCATGCTGCAATCCCTTTTTCTCTATTCTCCTCTTGGGATTTTGGGCATGCATGAACACATGCCCAGCGTGAATCTAAGTCACCTCATCCAGGACTCAAACCATGACCAACTACTTGGGAGTCCAGCAACGTAACCATTATACTATCTGCTGGTCTCTCTCTTTCATGCTTTTTAAATATTTTCTGCTTATTTTGAGAAGTCACCATTTATTGTATGAACATTTTCTCCTTCTCTAAGCTTGCCTTGACTTTCCTCCCCTGGAATGACCAAGGGGATGTGGAACATAAGTTGTATAATTGTGGTGGGTACTGCAGTGGCATTTCCATCCAGGCATTTATGCCAATAAATATGCATTTTAAAATGACTTTTAAAAGGGGGCGGGGAAAGAGAAAAAGTGGAAAACCCCAGAAAATGAAAGTTGCAGGGCTCACTTTAAAAGGTGCTCCACACCATCAGGTCCTCAGACCTCACTGAGACTCCCTTCCAGGCAGTCCTGCAGAGTCACCCAGATCCCAATGGCCCTCCAGGTCTCTGCACTGCTGGCCCTGGTGGTGGTGTGCTCTAGCCCCACCTGCTCTCTGGCCTGCGACCTGCCTCTGAGCCATGGCAAGTGGGAAATCTTCACCCTTTTGGCGCAAATGGAAAGAATCTCCATCCTGTCATGTCTGAAGGACAGGACTTACTTCGGATTTCCTCAGATACTTGTGGGTGGACACCAGGTTGACAGGACACAAGCCACAGCTGCCATACATGAGACGCTCCAGCAGATCTTCATCCTGTTCAGCACCAGGGGCTCTTCTGTGGCCAGGAATGAGACCCTGCTCGAGAAATTCCTCCAAGAACTTCATCAACGGCTGGATGGCCTGGAGACCTGTCTGGGGAAGGAAAAGGAGGTGGAACCGTCACCCCCAGGAAGCGAGAACCCCAGACTGGCTGTGAAGAGTTACTTCCAAAGAATCAGTCTCTATCTGAAAGAGAAGAAGTACAGCCGTTGTGCCTGGGAGATTGTCAGGGTGGAAGTCAGAAGGTGCTTGCTCATCATTAACAATCTCTCAGGGAAACTCAGGAAATCAGGAAGACATTGATTCTCAAAACAATTTACCTGGGCAACTGAATTGCTATTTTCTAAGACTCCAAGTGCACTCTTCATATCTATTTTTATGTAAGATGAAAAATTAGGAATAGCAAGTGTATGAGAGTATTATAACATTAAATACTACAAGTTACAATAAGCTGTATATAACAGAGAAATGGATAATCTA